TTTTTTTTTTTTTTTTTTTTTTTTTTTGGTTTTTTGTTTGTTTTTTAAGTAGAAATAAAAATACTTACTCTAAACTGTGAGGGAGTTTCCAGTATATCAAAGTCAGAGGAAGCAGAGATCCCATCCTCCAGAGTCTCCAGAAACACCTTCTGAAACTCCAGCATCTCTGGCAAGCTTCCAAAAAGTGACTCCATCTAGGGGAAGGTCAGGTTTGAAAAGGGTTAGCCAGGACAAGCTAGAGGCCTGCTGCTTCTCAGGCCCACACATCAACCACAAGGAAGCATTCCCAGGAAAGAGGCAGAGGTGAACGTTTTGCAGAACACACAAGGTATATGAGAGAGACTGCAGCTCCAGATACAATTCCTATCAAAGATAACTTTTAAGTGGATGTAAAATTTTTGGAGTTCAAGTCAGGAAGAATAAAGGGCAGCAGAAAAGAACTAAATCCTGGGATATTAACAATGCACACACTGAGAAGTGTGCTGGCCCTACCTCCTCCTATGCAGAAAGAGCACAACTGTCCTTCTGCCTTTTACACGTTGGCCATCGAGCTCTGCAGCAGAGGCCATAGACATCACTTAGGAGGAGGGCACACGTGGGGCTTTCTGAAGACCCCACATCTCAGATATTCTTGCGGAATTGGTATATATAGTTCCCTAAGAAGTATGCGAAATGAACAGACTCTGGGTTAACAAAAGTTCGATTAATATAGAAGCAAAGTGAATATTTACCTCATCTTGGGTAAGGAAAGTCTCATTCTGAAGTGGCTCCAGGTACAGCTCAAAGAGGCAGCTCAGATCCTGCAAGAGGAGGAGAGTTGCATGTAAGTCTGTCAAACACCCAAGAGATTCCAGTATTCCTCGCAGCAACCCCAACTACTCCCATCAGGAATACTGCCATTTGTCGTGCTGAAATTCTTGATCTTAAGAGTGGTTATTTATGCTCACCTAGTGCGAAGGTTAATACCACAGAACCAGCATCACCTGCATTCTGCACGTTTCCTTACAGCCTCCTCTCACACTCTGCTTAGTGTCTTGTGGACAGAATACCCAGTCACTAGACCCCTGGAGCCCATACCCTATGAGGGATGTGAAGTGTGGCTGAGTCACTGCTGCTGCAGGCGTGGCCACAGCCGCTGGACACCTGGCTTCCTTTTCAGTACGAGGGAGCACAGTGATAGCTCTAGCATGGAGCTGGAAGATTGGGGAGCTCTTCAACATTGGGCTTCATATGCCAGCAGAGTTTCATACTTCCATGTTCCAAATGCAAGAAAAACATTCCAAAGATTAGCAGTCATGTTTAAAATCTAAGCCATAATTGAGGCTATAGTTAAGTTGGCTCTGGCAGCACAAAATAGTGGGAATTCACTGTCTTTACAAAATCTACTAAGGTTTTCTTCTAATTTATTCACTTGAATCCCAGACCAGTTTAATTTAGTGACAGAAAAATAATTCAGAGATAGAAAAGATTTCTCTCTCATGTTTTATTTATTGTGAAGAACTCTGAGTCCTAAAATCCTAGACACGGTAAACTACAAAGTCCGCTCAGCTACACTGACTCCCTCACCTACAAGGGGCAAATTTAAGACCCTGCGAGCTTTGCAGAGCCCAGAGCACTCCCAGAACTTTCATGGCACCGTAGTGCCGGTTCTGAAAGCAAAGCCAGGCCTCTGATGCTGATGGGCTTTCACAATGGAGACTTCCCTCCCTTCATCCCCACATTCCACAGCAGCCCCAGATGTGAGAAGTCACTCAGTACATCCTGCGGAGCACACAAATGTTGCAAAGTTCAAGGAGCATGCAGGGATTCAGGTTAAGGAATGACAAGGGAAATTCTGTGTTAAATATCAACCACAGAAATTTAAAAACAGTGGGGAGTGTGTGAATCACAGTGGGTACCCAGTGTGGTTATTTGTACAGACAGTGACAGTGCAGCCGTCACTCCCAACCAGGCTGGGGCCAGCAGCTCAGAGCACTTACTGCACAGCAAGAGCAGGTCACGCTGAGCTGGGGGTGACAGAGCCATGAAGCCAGAGGCCCTATGAAGACAAAGCGCAGGTTTCTTGCAGAGAGATGAGGGCTGGTTCCTCCTCTCTACCGGACCATAACATCCACCTCAGAATGCTACCCTCCTAGTACAGTGTGGCTTCCCAGGAAGGCAGAAAACCATGAAGACAAAAAAAGGGACGCAGGCCCTACTTTGAACTCTGCTTCCGCCTCTGCTTGCTAGGGCTCAGTGACTTTTCTCAAAATACTAGGAGGGCTCAGAAGTCTCAAAAATATCCACAGCTTGGGCCAGCCAGATAGCTCAGCAGACTAAAGTGCCTGCTTAGGCAGATACACCCCCAGGGCTTTGAACCCCCGGGGGTACACTGAGACAGCCACTGAGACTGGGCTTGGTGGCATGCACCTGTAATCCCAGTGCTTGGGAGGCTGAAAACAGGAGAATCACTACGAGTTGTATTTATTTAGTGAGACCCTATAGACCTGTACTAAATACATTTTTTTAAAAAAAAACCCACAGCTCACAGATCTACTTGGACAAAAGTCACTGTGGATATAAAGTCTGAACTCCCTGGTGGCCCCTTCATCTCTCTACATTGAATGCAAAAGAATACATAATGGAAAATGAAACTCAATTGTCATCTGTCCCTGGTGGCTTTTCTTTCTTCCCTATGGACCAAAGGAAGGAGCTTTGTCTAAGACTTTTGGTAAAGTTCAGGGTAACAGCAGTGATAGGATAAAAAGGAAAGCTTGCATATGTCTTGTAGAAAAAAAAGGTATGAGCCATACATGTGGCAACCTGAACTCCCAGACTGAGCACCTTACTCCTGGAAGAAGATGGAGGCCAAATGGCAAGGATGCCCAACATGTACCCAAAGTGCAAAGCCAGGGCTGGATTCTCAGCTGCTGCTCTGTGCTCTTGTGGCGATTGACAAAATAAATTTCAAGTGGCTCCAAAGCATCAGCAAGTACTTAAAGAACTCTGCTTTCCCAGGCTCTTCTCTCTATAACATGGTTCTCATCGCCATAACTGGATGCTGATGAGATAAAAGAATTCTCTGAGTACTCAAGGGGCCCAGGAGATGGCTCAGTAGAATAACCACTTGCCTGGCAAGCACAAGGACAGCAGCCATGCCTTAACCATGGCGTAAGAACACTCCATGGGCCTCGGATGTCAACAGGTCCCTGTATGGGCTCTTCAGTAGGTCCATATGTGGGCTATCACTGCACAGTGGCCCCACAGACAGGGATGGCCTACAGTCTGGTTGGGATCCAGGCAGGGTCTAGCCACGTGCATAGATTACTCCCTAGTTCCTTGTCACCTGAAGTGATCTCCAGTCTGTTACTAAAGCAGTACAGACTCCCTCCCACAGATTGCAAATGACAAACTAGAACATCTGTTTCCATAGTGAGAACTACCTTGGTAACAAAATGAGCCAAGAAACTAACTTTTTTCTGGGTCCCCTCAGCTCTTGCACTCTCACCCTCCCTCTCCTAATGCTTCTAGGAGCAGGTGTCTGCTTCATGATTGGCAGGTGTCTGAGACAGAGGTGCTCTGAGGCCTCCGCACGCACACAGCTTCCCATCAGCAGAGGACTGAATGCCTGGCATTCCCTGGTACCTTCACATAAGACTTCTCCGTGTCCACGAGCTCCTGGATGACTTTCCGGAGGCGGTCTGCATCAGACAGGTGGCGGGCCAGAGGCCTTGGAGGTGGGTCCTGACTCTCCCTGGGTCCTTCCATACTCTTGTTTTGGGTGTCGCTAAAGCCCCTACACAGTGTGGTGATCTGTTCAGCACTCTGAGAGATGACAAGAGGTAGAAAGTAATGATCAGGACACTCGCAATAAACATCAGCAGCCCACCAAAGACACAGAGGATCTATCTGCCTGGCACTCACTCCAGAACCTTAGAAATCTGTGACAAGGGCAAGCAGTTCATTCACCTCAGACCACTCTGGCAATCATTCGAGTCCAGTGAGGAAAATGGTGTCTACATGATGTTTAAATTATGCGCACACAACACATCCAAGTGTAACTCTTTTTGCTGTCTTGTTCTTTGCCAACCGTGAAAGGCTGCCGTCTGCCTTGGAGCCAGCTGAATATGGACTGAAGCCTCCAGTAACTATGAACTAAATAAACCTTTCTTTCCTTCATTTTGAGTGTTGGGTATTTGTCGCAGCAACAAGAGAAAAGTAAATGAGACAATGCCTGACTTTGATCCATCATTCTGTGGGACAAAAAGTTGAGCTTGTTAGAAAGATCTCTTAATACTAACTTCCCTTTCTTTGCTTGGATGTTTCAGATGGAGACAACTGATACACCAGTATGCTGGTCCACCACAGTGGCCTGACACATGCTTTCTATGGTGAAGTGAATGCCACAAGGCAATCCAGGCTGCTGTGGCCCGCCTACCCATTTGTTCTACCTCTATCGTAACAGTGTCCTCTCCACATATGTTGAAAGTACACAATCAAGATTAAAACTCAATACTCATTAACCAATTTGATGGGAACCAATTGTGAGCTTATTCTGTCTTTAAATAACTAGAGGATAGTTCCATCCAAACCTAGACTCACCAAGGTTGGAAACACCCAAGTAAAGTCTAAGGTAGTCTAGAAACTTAAACAAGCTTGGAAGAAATGAAAAATGCATGGCACTTGCACAGACAGAAGCATCACTCTGGAATATTTTGCTGTGGAAAGCTTCAACCAAGCAGTGGCTTCTCACGTGGTCCTGACAGGAGCCTGGCCAAGGGAGAACCACAGAATAGCCCAGACATGCAGTGGAAAACTGGGCTGAGCAATACACAGATCCTGGCTTCTCAGATAGAATTGCTTCTCCCCTTATGAAGAATCCTGGGGCACAAGTTAGATCAAGCGGGAAGCAGTGCTAAGCTAGACAGACACATAAAGTAGGAAATAATTTGTGTTCAATACAAGACAAAAGCATAAGGAAGTACTAATGATTCTCCTTGGAAATACATATTTTCCTTTCTTTTTCTTCCTGTTAAAATGTGAAGGCATGCATATGTCTGGCAATGCCTGTTAGAAGACATGTATTTCAGGGTAAGACTTCCAAGAAAAAGAGTTGATTTTTAAGCACCAATCAGAATGCAATTTGATTTTTCATAATGTCTCGTTTGTAACAATCAAGCTGTATGCATCATCTTTTGAAGACACTCCAGCGCTGTTCAGTGACACACAGCACAGTACGGCCAACAGGTGCTATCTGACCCTTCCAGGATACAAGCCTCTGAGGAACACAAAGGAATATAAGGGCAACAGCATGCATCCTGCCTGTCCTCACCAGTGAACCTCGACACTGGGCTCAGATCAGCTTTGCTGAGGGCTTTTAGAAACGCTGTGCTGAGACCAGGGCAATGAGGAAGCCTGGGACCCCATCACGGGGGGGTGGGTGTGAAACGCTTCCCAAGTGATGCTGTGTGTGACCTGCAAAGAAAAGCTGGCCTGCCTCACAGGACAGCCGTATCTGCTTGGGTTTCCTGGAGGGCATGCAGACTCCAGACTTCACCCTTCCCCACAGCTGCATGGAGAGGCGGCCACATGGAAGATGTGTGGAAGGACATGCGGCACACGTGGGAGGAAGGAGGCAGAATTGTGTCCCAAGCCTGAGCTTCTGGCTTAGCTCTCTTCTAACTGCTGAAAAGCCCATGATAACAATACTCAAACTCTTTTGAAATCTCTGTCCTGGGATTTGTCCTCAAGTTCTGACAATTTTGCAATCCTGAAAACAAAGTTAGCAGAGCTGTGGCAAGTTATATTAGGCTTGCATGCATTGTATAAAAGAAGATCTGACGAAATGCACCATAAGTTAAATGGCATCTGGTGAGCTTACAGCTTTGCCTTGCTGGGATGTCAGAAATCACACCTAACGATGCAGTGTTAAAATAACGAGGTTTTAAAAATAAAGTATCTTGCCATTTTAGAAAATGAAAATTCATTTAAAAAACATGTCTGGTTCTGAAATTGTTCAATATCAAATCTACTTTTCAAGGTACTACAGTGAAGTGCTCAAGTGCTGCCAAGACACCCTTAGCACATTTAATAGTTGGGCTGTGAACATTACCTCGGATTGAAAGGAAGGCGGGCTCCCAAAGGGAGTACAGATGTGTTCTGCAGATGACAGGTGAACGAAGCACCTCGTGATCATACTGCAGTTCCTCTGTTCTCGGGTGGTTATCCACACTGAACCCCTAAAGGTGGATTCAATGTGGGGCTCATGAGCACATTCTAGCAAGAGCAATGACTTCCAAGTCCTCCATGTCCTTACTCATGAAAAGCAGTAGTGGTGTCGATCCCATCCAAAATCCTAAACTGCTCTGGTTCTGGGAGCAAAGGGAACATTGCTCACCACCAAACATAGGTAGGGCACTGTCACAGAACTCAAGCATTCTGTCTACCTACCGTAGCCCACTGAGGCTTTCCAGTGGCAGGGCAGGGAGGCGCAGGCAGGTCCCTCATGGCTTAGACCCCTCTCCTCGCTGCCTGTCCACTCCTCAGCAGGGCAAAGGCATCACTGGCATGCCTTGCTTGCTGCCTCCCTTGACCTCGACCATGGAGTGAGGGTTCTCCTGGGCCCTGGGTTCTAGAAGTATCATCTGAGATCTAAATGCAGCCACCACACCCACACAGACAGTGGGGAAGTCCATTAGGCCAACCCTACCCGCAGGGTGAGGATCCTGCTGAGAAGAAACCCGGGCCCACTGAAGCGTGGGCCCCTCATTTACGTGTTTGCCACAATCAGCACTAACATCTTGAGTTCATTGTGGGCACAAATATTTTCTTTAAAAGATTCATTAAAACAATTAAAATTGTTCCCAAACTGAAAAAGCCATGATACTGACCCCCTGCCCATTTTTTCTTCCTTTAGGTTTTCAAGATTGCACTAAGGTTGAGCCCTACTTGCAAATGATTTGACCTTATAAAGAAGTGTGGCTCACTCAGGAACAGATGTTTAAGCAGTTATTTTTGTTTTTGTTTCAATACATGGATAAGGACAGCTTCTGCCTCTAAATAAAGAGGCTGAACTGTGTCTGTTTTCAAGGAACCCACAAAGCTGTCCTTAAGGGTAACACTGAAACGGCTTCCTATGATCAGGCCCCTTGCCCTAGACCCTCTAGAGGAATGCAAGGGCAGTTTTTTCCTACCAAATTCTGAGCCACTCCATGATCCTCCTAACTGGATTCAGTACAGTCCTTTTCAGCAGAAAACCACAACAATCTCCTCTTCACGTATGTAAAATCTGTCCCCCTGATCCCAGCAGCCTTGATATTTCCTCTGCTCCTACTTGGAGACATCAGTGCCTGCAGCTTTTCCATTTTCTTGTAGGCTTTAAAACATTTAGAAAACAATTATTTGAGGATGAGTACATTATGTCACCCAGAATTATTTCAAGACTGACTGAGATTTCATAGCTGCTGCATGAAATGCTGGTGTTGATCAGAAGGCCTTTATTGCACAGGAGCCCAGCTCTGTCCCCTCCCTTGGGCTCAGTGCTCCACGAAGCCCTCCTTAGTCAGGCTCCCCATACCACAAGCTTTGTCAGAGGCACCTCTGCAACCCTGGGGTTCAAAAACATGTCTAGCCTAAGGAAAAGGGTGCAAAAGTAGTCCACAACTTGGGACAGTATTTCACATGGAAATACAAGTTTTTGCAGTGTGTGCTACTTCAGCCAAGAATGTGAACTTTAAGGGAAATTAGTAAGACATTTAACCAACACAGAGACCTACCAGATCCTATCATACTGCCATGTTAACTGCTCTGTCACAAGTTGATCTCTTGCTACATCTCTGGCTGCCACCCAGAGCCACTTCCCCTTTCACTATACTGAGCCATTCACCTGGTCCAAGACTAAGTCTGGATAATGTCCACAAAGACTCACCATACCAGAATATCAGCCCAAAAGCTTAACTTTCAGCTTCCTCTATTGATACTAAAGAGAATAATGAAAAAACTGAAACTATGTTTTAGGCCTGGAACAAGGGGCTGATTATCCTGAAGGATGATCTAGCCCTGACAGGGCAGCGTTCATAAGCATCGTGTTCTTACATACTGAACACAAAAGAATTCTCAGTTCATTGTCTGGAAACCAGGAGGAGGCTGCATTTCTGAGTAATCTCAGAGTGCAACTACAGTGTCAGCTGTCATAGTCTAACAAATTAGTTAAGTCAGGAATGTTCCCCTTAAGAAAGCAAGACTAAAAAGTCAAAGGATTTTTCTCAACTTACTCTGTACTTCATTAAAGTCATTGCTGATTTATAGGCAGATCTCATCTCCAAATGTTACTGGCAGGCTGAATCCACAAGGGCCACAGAGTAAGGTTAGGTGACTTCTCCAGAAAGACTACGGGGCAGAAACAGACCCTGGATCCGAGTTAAGGTAGCTTCCTACCCCACCTAGGGCTTTCCCCTAGAACTGAGATGGGCCTTGGTCCTATAGGTCCTGGCTTGGCTGTTCTGGGCCTCATCACAGCCCAATCAGGGCTGCAGAGCTGCACCTGAGGGATTCTCCAAGGCAGGGAGAGCAGGGAAGGAGTGAGGGCAGTCTGTTAGCATGCTGGTGTTGGTGTTGGTGGGAACAGGCAGTAAACATACCTTCAGGGGGATTAGTGACATTTATGTTTGGGGAGCAAATCTTTCGTCTTGGAGCAATACTTTGGAAGTTCTAGGAAATAGCATGAGGCTTTAATACTTACCAAAGAGGTAGAAAAAGCAGGAAGAAATCCTCCACCCCCACCCAAGCCTCATATTCCTTGTTCTGTGGTCCAGACTATTCTGTTC